AACAAATAATTTTGAACGGAAAAAATGAAGAAAAACAATGAACAAGGCAAAAGAATGATAGAGCAATGGAAAAAGGGAATAATAAAAGTAATAATAAAAAACCTTATGATGGCAAGGAAGAAGAATCAAGATGACGAATAATTTTATTGTTTAGAATAAGACTAGGAATTAAGTTTGATTTTCATAAAATAAAAATTAATAGTATTAGACAGTCTATTTAGACTACAATTATGCAGGAACTTCGTTATTCAACTTCAAGAAGCAATTATTATTATTTAAAAAAAAACATTTAAAAATAAATTTGTTATTAGACTACATTTTCTATTAGATATAGACTTCTACTTTTTATTTGTTTATTATTTATATATTTTTTCTTTTTGTTCAAGTTGGTATGTTCTGTCTTTTGGCGTCGATTTGACCTGTAGAATCTAGTCACAAGTCGCTATCATGAGCTGCCGAGAGCTAATTGTACTCGAGCTTCTCCAGGCCACATAATCTATGGCCATCGGAAAATATCAATCGAAAGTCTTCAAAACTCTTAAAAGCCTTCAGTTTTCGACGATCGTAAATGCATGGTCCGCCATATTCTCTACTAGATAATTGAATACGTCATAGGTCCCAAAGTCAGGAATATCGTCAAACTTAAGGGAGGTATGTAACTAGTTCACTTAACTGGATCCGCCCCTGCTTTCTATGGCCCCTTGTCCTTTTCCTTTTCCTCTCTCCAGCACTATCCGATCCGTTTCCCTTTCCTTTATTTAATTCTCTTTCCTCCTTTTCTGTAGTGCATTACATAAGGCATTGGTCATAAAACTGAAGGCTTATCCTGGTTATTGACAACACCTGCTATTGGATAAACCCGAATGGTGTCGAATTCCCCATGAGAGCTCGCTATATACTATACTATACAATACTATATGCGCGTAAGTTAGGGGATATATGTCTAGCCCTATACCGTAGCTGGACCGTGAATTAATATACATTCTCCGAATTTGATCTCAGCGGACCATAAAGACAAAACGCAAAACATGGTATATTATCGACTATCGGATATATGCATGGCTTACTATTGTACATAATGCCCATAAAAGTTGTGATTTCAATAGGCCTATATGGGCCTTATCCGTGGCAGGATCAATCGAATCATTGAATTATAAATTTGCAGGGTTCAATTCCGTCACAAGGCGCACTTTATTTTGCTTTTTATTCTTCCAAACCCCTCCCCCTTTTTTGTTTAAATGGGGGGGGGGGGGGTGAGGAGACTTCAACCCCCCCCCCTCCCCCTGCAGCAGTGGCGTACCTGGGATACTCCGTCAGGGGGGGCAAGCGACCGAAACAAACAAAAAAGGCGATGCTAATTTTCACTTCTGGCGAGCGAGCGAGCAAAACAAAATCTTTAAGTAACGTTTGGTATATAAACTGGTATTGTTGCAAGTTGGGGTGGGAACATTCACTTGTTAGCGACGTTAATTTAATTTTTTTGCAAACGAGTGTAGCGAGCAAGAAAAAAATCACTTCTTTTTTAAGAATTGCCACTTAAACTTGGTTCAATTGTCCCATGCAGGGCGCGGGAACAATATTGTGTTTAGGGTGATTTTATACCCATTTTAGCTAGCGAGCGAAAATGCATCTTTCTCTCAATGAATTGCTATATAAAATTTGTTTCATTGTTGCAGGTAGGGGGCGGGCACAATCGTGTTTAAGGCAATGTCAATCCCATTTTGGCGGGCAGGCAACCCCCTACATTTCTCTTTTAAATGATATTGTAGCAGATAGTGGTGGGCACATAATTCCACGAGCTAGCGAGCGTAGCGAGCGAAAAAAAAAAATCACTTCTCTTTTATAGGGAAAATATGGTACATAAAACTTGGGTTCATTGTTCCATGTCAGGGACGTGATTATTAAAAGCGGTGTTATTTATATTTTGGCGAGCGAGCGTAGCGAGCGAGCAAAAAAAATCACTTCTCTTTTATAGGGAAAATATGGTATATATACACTTGGGTTCATTGTTCCATGTCAGGGACGTGATTATTAAAAGTGGTGTTATTTCTATTTTGGCGAGCGAGCGTAGCGAGCGAGCAAAAAAAAATCACTTCTCTTTTATAGGGAAAATATGGGTTCATTGTTCCATGTCAGGGACGTGATTATTAAAAGCGGTGTTATTTCTATTTTGGCGAGCGAGCGTAGCGAGCGAGCAAAATTTTTGTAATGATAATTGGTTCATAAATTTCAGATTTTTTTGTTGCAGGGCAGGGCTTACACAATCATGTCTAAGGTGATGTTAATTCCGTTATGGCGAGCACGAGCACACCAAAACTTCTTTGAATAACGTTTGGTACATAATTATTAACTGGTTGTTGCAGGTTGGGGCGGGAACGTTAGCGGTGTCAATTCCATTTTGGCGAGCGAGCATAGCGAGCAAGCAAAAAAAATAAATTCTCTTTTAATAAAAATTAATAAATAAACTTGTTTTTATTGGTGCAGGTCAGGATGGACGCAATCGCGTTTAACGCGATTCAATTCCTTTTTGGCGAGAGGGGAAAAAACTCTCCCACTTTTAATGATATTGTTGCAGGTCAAGGGTGGGCACAATTGTTTCCAAAGCAATGTCTATTCATTTTATTCGCGAGCGAGTGTAGCGAGCGAGAAAAATGAATTAGTCTCTTTTAGTAACATTTGGTACATATATTGTGTGTTATTGTTGCCATGGTTGCAGGTTGGGGCCCGTCGGGGCAGGCACAATTTTATTCTAGGCAATACTAATCCTTTTCTTTTTTCAGGGGGACGAGCAAGTGAAAACATTTAATACAAAATAGGCTAGCAAGCAGTTCGCGCCAGCGAAGAGTTTCGAATTTGTTATATCACTTATATTTTCCTATTTTCATTTGTTTTAATTTTTCAGGGCCGTATGCGGAATATTTTTCTGGTGGGGGAGGGGGAAAGATGCGTTAAAAGTTTTCGAAGAATCTCAAAAGCAAAAGGAGTGAAGGGAGTTCGAGCGACCGAACTGGTCATGAGGGTACTTTTGCATTTTCAAAAGTAGAATTGAAGGAATTGGTAATTAAAGGCGTACACTACATTTTCAGGAAAAAAAACTGTACGTTTTCAAAATATCTGGGGTCAACTGCCCCCCCCCCCCCTTGGTGCGTACGGCCATGGTCTTTTTTTTTAAAAATAAATTTCCCCATTTTTATTCCTTTCCTTTTCTTTTCCCTTTTTCTTCCTTTTCTCTTCTTCTTCCTTTTTTCTTTCCTTTTTTTCCTTTTTTCTCTTTCTTTCCTTTTTTCTTCCCTTTTCCTTTTTTTTTTCTTTCCTTTCCTTTCTTTTCTTTTCTTTCCCCTTTTTCTTTTTTTCCCCTGGAGCCCGTCAGGGGGGGGCACTCTGCCCCCCTGCCCCCCATAGGTACGCCAGTGCCCTGCAGCGCCTATGGTCTATGCATGCCTCATACTGAGTCAAAGCTAGCTGTGCCCAACGTACGCGTTCGGTACACGTATGTCGCCCACATAATGCTAGGCGTAAGCGGGCTCAATAGGAGAATATTCAATCAGTTGATTCCATCTCCATACTACAGTATGCTACTCGAAGGCCGCTGATCGACGCTTTAGATTGCTCTCGACACAACCTTACAGTTGGCACAAACGTTAACGTTGCGATTACACGTGCATACTATTCCCGGTACGTATCATGCCAACAGCCTTATATCAATATTTACATTTCTAAATGTGTGAAAAGTTTATCTTGTTTTTTTTCTCCATTAGATCTAATTAGTTTAACATCTCACAAAGATAGACCCCGATATATACCGGGCAGGCCCGGTAAACTGGAAGAGAAGATGCACTACCGCCGCCGGTAGCGTACGATATGACGAGTTTCTAACCCACCTCTTACACATAATAGTGGGGGGGGGGGCATTATGCCATAACCATTCAAGCGTGTTTTTGCGATAAAAATATCAAATTTGTCACGAAGCTTTAACATGTTCTGGGAAAACTGGATGTCGAGCCACCTCAAATTCGGCTGAGGCCTATGTTATGCACTATATAACACTGACTTTGTCTTTGTGCCCTTTTTTTTCTCAATGGCCCGGCCCTCCAATTATATGATGGGGGATGGTGAACATATAATAAGGTCTTCTCTTTTGCCTTTGAATTGAATTTCCAAATAAACACTAGCCATCATAAATATTTATGTTTTATTGTATTTTCTTACATAAAAGTCTTGTCCAGGAATAAATATTACTTGTAAACTTAATGTTATTGTTAAGTTCAACATTCAAATTGCTGCTTTAAATCAACTGTCCGGACACACAACCTGTCCAGACACTCCACATATCTATTCAAGGTATACTTTTTTTCTTGAATACTTTGACCTAAATTGATATATTTAAAAAAATATAACTATAATCAAATTGGCTAAAATCAAAGATCTATTTTTTATTTACGAGGGCAAGGCCTCAAAATTATGTAAATAAGGTCTAGCATATTTTTCAATTAAAGGCTCATCTGTGTGTGCTAACAGTTGTGTTAAAGATATAATATATGTGTAAAAGGATTCTAAATCTAATCATACAATACACTTTATAATGAAAGAGAATACCATAAAACAATAATGATGCTTTCAGGATTGCGTACTTAAATTGCAAATTGATATGGACTGTGATATATATATATATATATATATATATGTTTATTTCTTTTTTTCTTTTTCTGAGTAAAGGTTAAAAAAAATGACTAAGCTAGAATGGAAACTAAGATTGACCGAATTTGAATTTTTATTTGACCAAAACTGTTCGCAATCAAGAACTGATGAGACATGCAATTGACCATCCGATATGCATTGTCATCAAGTTTCAAGATGACTTTAATTTCATCATTTATGAAATTGTATGGGGGGGGGAAGAAAATGTTATCAAAGTGAATGGGGGGGGGGCAAATTTTAATGTGTGGCTTAGTTTGCTGACAGAGAAATTCTGTAGCCATATATAGGAACCAATCTAAATCAATCTTTTTATTTTTCAGTGAATGATGGATAAAGATTCGGAGAGGCTGGTCATCATTGATACCGATGGTGGTACAGATGATTGCCATGGTATCCTGATTGCAGCTGCTGCTTCTCATGTCAAAGTTTTAGCCATTACGTGTGTAGTGGGTAACGTGGAAATCGATCAAGTCTCTCAGAATGTCCTCATGACAGTACACATATCAGACAAATTGAGGGTATTTTATTCATTCATGTTTACTTTTACCAATTATACATTTTCATTACTACTACTACTACTACTACTATTACTACTACCACTACTAATACTATAATACTGCTACTACTTGTACTACTGCTACTACTAGTACTACTACTATTACTACTACTATTACTACTTCTACTACTTCTGGTACTTTAGTACTACTACTACAACTACTATTACTACCACCACTAATAATACTATAGTACTGCAACTACTTATACTACTACTACTTCTACTACTACTTCTACTATTACTACTACTACTACTATTACTACTACTACTACTACTACTACTACTACTATTACTACTACCACTACTAATACTCTAATACTGCTACTACTTGTACTACTGCTACTACTAGTACTACTACTATTACTACTACTATTACTACTACTACTATTACTACTATTACTATTACTACTACTACTGCTACTTTACTTCTTCTACTACTATTACTACTTCTATTTACCCTCCTACTCCATAATAAGCTTTCATGATTAACATTCTCAGTCTGGTAGAAGTTGGCCTATTTGATTGCTCTTATTGATATTCTTGTGTTGGTTGATGTTGTTGTTGTTGTTGTTGTTTTTTTTGTTTTTGTTTTTGTGTTTGTTTGTTTGTTTTTTGTTTTTTGTTTTTTGTTTGTTTGTTGTTGTTGTTTTTGAGTTGTTGTTTTTTTGTTTTTTTTTGGGGGGGGGGTGTGTTCTCAATTGATTCAACAGTGATGTGAGTGAACCCATGACATGCCATCGTTTTTAAACGAAGTGTTCAAACACCCATATCAGAGATTCTGTAAGCTAGGCCCACATGTATTATCAATTGGAAGAAAAGGATTTTTTTTTTAAAGAAAAAAAACAGAGAGGTTTTCTTTTTTCAATGATTGTTCTCAACCATCTCTTGCACGATTAGATTCTGATCCTATACAGGTAATTAAACAAAGTACATTCCATTTACCCAATAAAAGCGTTTGCGACGTTATCCAGTCAATTGTCAATGTCTTGCTTTCAGATAACCCATCCCCTACATGTATGTGCCTTTCCGTAACTCCTATACAACGCACTTTTTCCTTTTCCTTATTTCTTTCTTCACGATGACGATGATGCATTCAGAAAGCAAAGTGTCCCATTTACGTGGGCGCTGCTCGACCACTAGCTGGTTTTCCGATCCATCGATTTGATGTCCATGGGGAGGATGGATTGGGTAACACCAAAAGGTCAACAGACCTTCAGCAAGACTGCATCCAAGCTGAACCTGCATGTGTAGCTCTTGTAAGGCTAGTCAACCAATATCCTGGTCAGATCAGTATAGCTGCCATTGGACCACTAACCAACCTTGCTTTGGCAATGAGAATAGACCCAACATTCTCATCCAAAATCAAAGACCTTGTCATCATGGGAGGAGATTCAGAAGGTATGACTAAATAGTATAGATATATCGACTGCTATGAGAGGCCTGGCTGTTTTTTTTTTTTATAGGCTCAAGGGGATGCAACGTCCCCGAGAGCCAGTACAGATAGGCCTCGAATATTAAAGCAGTCGATATATCTTTTATATACCGAATCGACACATAAATCTACCGAAAATTTTTAAGTTATCCTATTCTATTATGGTTAAAACATCACAGAAAGTCTGAGATATTGTCTGTTTACCCAGAATCTTTCGAGAATCTCACTCAGGAACTATTGACCGCTACTGGCATCGTTCGTTTCTTTACGGTAATGGCTAACATCACGACTCCAATTTCAACCAATCAGATGGCTAGATTTCTAAAATGAGGTATATAATAGTTATAATATTCTATCGCTCTAACATAGCTGCCAACCATTCCTATGTTGGTGGAATGATTCCCTTTTTTGGGCTTCAAGCTATTGTTTTGAACCCTAGATTCCTGAAATATTCTGTGTGAAAAGTGTATTGAAGTAGACTGTATTCCTGATTTTGCCTTAAGAGATTCCTAATGTTTGCTGTCAAAGGTTGGCAGGTGTGATCTAATTTACTAGCTATCGTGTACACTATAGTTTATTCATATGAAATAAGTATTAAATATGTATCTGTGTTCATAATGGTGAGATGCCCCTTAAAATAAAGGTTTTTTTCTTTATACTGCAGAGCAATTGAGGCCACTAACATAGACAAAGAGTGACTCAAACACCAACAATATTCTTGAAAACAAAATGTGTATTTTGAATAAACACTACTTGATAATTATTTGGGGTCGTTGTTTCATATTTTGTCACATTCACGGTTGGAATTTCTGCCACTTTTCAGGCTGCCTCACACAAATGACTTCAGTTGCACTGTCGTATAACAGGTTTGCTTGCCTACATTTCTTTGAAGAATATTGTCGGTGTTGGCTAGATTTTAGGCATGTGGATATCACGCAACTCTCCACCTTGCGTTTCCTTCCGTTTCCTTCCATTTCTTTGGCATGCTTCAATTGCACCATATGATAGGGATATGCCAGACGCACATGAGGTGTCATCTCAGTTGTACAATTTGAAGATCATTTTATCTGGCCTAGAAATGCACAGGACAAGCACGGATGCAGTGACTAACCATAGGCCTAAATCGAAAGGTCAAATGTTCAAGTGCAGGTTTCAGTTGCACTTTAAAATCTATACGCTGGCAAAACAAATAACTTTACTACACACCAAGCACGGAGTACATTATTGGACTTTATGTTCCTCTTGTGCAGAGCTCTGTCCTCTGTATTGTTTGCTGTGTATTGCATTGAGCAAATAATTTTGAAGATGATAAATATATGCCTCTAGCTGTACAACTGGCCTAAATTGTATCTTGTGAGAATTTCTCTTAAATATGAAAAACTAGCTATGCAAAAAGCTATTAAAAAAAGAATAACGGCCCTGTGGAAATTGTTTTTTGTTTTGTTAATCTTGTTACTGTAGAAGTATGCAAGGGACATTTAAAAAGGAGTGAGACTCCAACATAACACACTTTATTCAAACTACAAATCACACTTTACTCACTTCTTGTGAGGTTTAAGGATTCTAAAGCTTGCCTATTAATGTCAAAGTAATTTTTTACCCCCACTTTTTTACAGATTCAGGATCAGTATTTATGGTTATTCTCTATATCTTGCAACATTGTGCTCCATAATCTTGTGGACCATAGATCTGCGGAACATAGCATCGATTGTAAATCAGCATACGAGTTGTGTCTAAGTTTAGCATAGTATCATATCTTAGTGGAGGGAGTAGGTTAACATCACACAGCAATCGATGGATTATGTGAGTCAAGATAAGAAGGACAAAAAAAACAACCAGCCCGAATTTCAGGTTACAGCATTAATGGGGCAAGTAATGCACCATGCTGGCGCAACCAATAAGTAGTCGTGTAGTCGAGGAAACTATATCAATGCGGGCATCTCTTCTCAACTTTGCAATTAGGATTTGCATAATTGTGTTATTCCATCCCTTCTGATTTATTTTGTGTCCTAGGTGAGATGCAGATATTAAATACTTTTACGATCATAGCTCTTTCAGAACTTTTCAGATCTTTTCTCCCTCTTTCTGATATGTTCTCCCTTTTCTTTCTTGTTATTGGTACCACCTCATCATTTGACATTATATTAATTTATTCTTAGTAGTGGGGACAGTCCTCTACAGATCATTTTTGATTTTTGGCTACCCCTTCTACATTTGCTGATATTTCTTTTAAAACAGTCATTGTTCCATATATATAGTCGCTTAATAGAATATGTACATGTTCTATTATGTTATTGTTTGTATTTTCTTGTGTTTTGGCATTTGTGAAGAATTAAATTGAATTGGTAATTGAACTAAATAAATCTAAGTTGCTCATCAGCTCCCATACATCAGGGAAGCCCCTGCATACATGTCATGACCTCTTTTGATGTCCCAGGCAGAGGGAACATAACTGCATGTGCTGAGTTCAACTTCCACGCTGACCCAGAGGCAGCCCGAGTGGTCCTTCGTGAATTCACTTGCTCTAAGATACTGATTTCATGGGAGCTCACCATCAAGTATGCATGGAATATTGTAAGACATTTAACTTTAGGTTTTATCAATTATGTAAGAAAGACAAATAATGAAATAATTAATAAAATTAATATGAATTGTTCGTTTGATATTGTTGCTCATATCTCTCAGAAACTTTTTTTAAAGTAATCTTCATTTACCACATTTTTATAGAAAGTGTTAATCGGGGTCTAAATCTCATTTTGTTGTTATCTAGCTAAGATGAGAAGTTACTAAAATCATGTTTAGAATAGTGATTAGTTCATTGGTTAAATAATGTGTTTTAGAGTAAATCTGCAATTTGTTGTAAGTTTAGGACTTTCTTTTATCTTCAGATTACTTATTGTATGGGTCAGGGGGTGCTGTCTCATAATTATGCAAGAACTGATCATCTCTTCTTTAACGCTTTTTCAAAACCAAGGATAATAAATCACTTGAATCTCTGTTTAGAATTTACTGGTTGATTCCACTAACAATATAGTCCCTGTCAGTCTGCAAGACGAAGTAATTATTATTTATTTATATTATTTTGCAATTTATTTCACAAAAGATTTTTCTTTAATGTGTTTATTAGGATTGGATGCGTACCAAGTTATTTTTAGAGGACAGGCTAGTCGGTCGTTTTCTTCGAGATACTCATGAGCATATTTTAGAAGTCTGCAAAAAGGTGAGTTCTTGAAGCCTCAATAATGTTTTCCATTTTCATTTGGACACACAGCAACTTTGATTAAGCAGCTGTCACAAATTATGTAATACATTGTTTGTTTTGCAAAGATTCTGTCTGTTGAACTTCCGTTAACACTATCCGATAATGTGCGACGGCTCCACTACAAGCTCAACCAAATAAGTCTGTTGAAATAGTGCCTCCTCAAGCACTTTGATAATGACTACATTAAATAATACTTTGGAAAATGTAGGAATTCATGCAAGGTTTGATTATTTCATACAGTCTCCATATGAAGCATATGAAATGTTGGCATTAGTACACAGTAAGTGATATATTCCAGGTTTTCATACTCTTTGAGGCGAATAGTTGAGGCAAATAGTTGACCCCAATGGAAAATTGTGTTTTCTTGGTAAATCACTGGGTAAGTGTTTTATCTGACTGTCAATTCACATGAAGCTGCAAATAGCGAAATGCTGGATAAAAATATGTTAAGATATGTAAGAACAAACAGAATTGAATGGCATACCTGGTGGTAGTCATTTAGTCTAAATGATCATTATACATATCTAAAGAAACAGTGAAAAGTTGGAGAGATCAGAAAAATCTAAAAGATTGGAGGGGGGCAAAGTCTATTTGAAATGTTTGCCATTCTGATCACACTTCAAACAATGTTGTTTGAATAAATATGAATACAATAGCTAGGCATACTGTAGTGTATTCTGCACAGCATGGTTCTACCTCTAATTGCCAATATAAATAATGAACTGAACTGAAGCTTTGTTCCATGTATGGTTAAAATAATGTTTTAATAAATATGAATACAATAGGCCTATACTGTAGGGTATTCTGCACATCAAGGTACTAGCACTAATTGCATGATTATTAATGACTGCATCAACTAAAGCTTTGTTCCATGTATATTGTTTAACATGTAGGATCCCGCCATGTCTACCGGAGGTTTAGTGGATATGTTCCCTGCCTGCGATCAGTTGGCTGTAGCAGTGACCATCAACCCAGACTTGATGACTCATTTCAACCACTTCCGTTGCTCCGTCGAGACAGGAGGTGTGTCCAGCAGAGGTCACTTAGTCATTGACCGGGCCTCTTTTGACCAGTCACTAAACGGAGTTACACCTACAAAGATTGTAACTGCAGTAGACTTTGAGAAATTCAAACAGATCGGTCTCAGTTCGGTCTCAGTATGAGGTTTCTTGTGCACATTGCAAAGTTGCAACTGATTTATCCATGTTCAGCATCATTCATCAACTATCAACGTTTTCTCATGCACACATTAGTTTAAAAAGTGGGGGAGACTTATCCTACAATAAAAACAGTTTGATATGTGTAGACTTATCCTACAATAAAAGCAGATTGAGATGTGTAGACTTATCCTACAATAAAAGCAGTTTGAGATGTGTAGACTTATCCTACAATAAAAACAGTTTGAGATGTGTAGACTTATCCTACAATAAAAGCAGGAGGAGCAATACAGACTGCAACTTTAAGGGCCGAATTTACACCCATTTATTTTTTGTGTTCTTTATTAGATCAGTCAATGTCAAATCACTGCAAATTTTTGTTACTATGTGAGCCCTACCTCTTCCTACTTTCACAAATCTGGTGTGTGGGATTAATTGAGGTTTTTAGTGGAATTGATTGGAATTTTGAAATTCCAGCCAAACATGCCAGTAAACAAATTTATTTGAACAAATACATCTGTGTAAGAATGAACTTTGTCAGATTTGTAGGTTTCAACATACTTATAATGAAAATTACACCAGAAATCTAAATCTGCCATTAATTTCTATATCCAAACTCAATTCAATGACCTCTTAACCTTTAAAATTTGGTGAATATATACCTCAATCTATTTTCAACCCCATGCAAAGTATTTGGAAATATAACATTTTTCACTTGTTTTCCAGCTTCTTATTTTGCTCTCAAAATGATGCAGCATGGATAAGCTATTTGGAAGGTCCAATCTTGAACTAAAATGAACCACACTAGACAATAAAACATATAAATTCTGGATAAGAGAGGCATCCCTAAAGAGGTAGTAGCAGGGTTACGATTCTACAATGTTCAGTATCCAGGAAAATGAAGGAATGTACCAACAGTATGATCTATTTTAAGGTGACTCACATATGGTCCCAGCTATGTAGGGCTACAATATACATTCAGTGCTGCACTAATTTTAATATATCAGTGTAACTATAGTTTTCAAATTTCATACATTTAATTTGCACAAACATTCCAAGTGACTTTACATTGACCCACCAGCCAGTGTTTACTTAGTAGTCGTAGTAATAGAAGTAGTAGTAGTAGTAGTAGTAGCAGTAGTAGTAGTAGTAGTAGTGGTAGTAGTCGTAGTGGTAGTAGTAGTAGTAGTAGTAGTAGTAGTAGTAGTAGTGGTAGTAGTAATATTGTTTGTGTCTTTGTTGTTGTTGCTATTATTATTGTTTTAAAACCATATTTCTCTTCCCAAAGGTCATAAAGGTTAATATCTGATATTACAGGTTTTATAGCATCATGCATGATTGAGATATGTCAAGAATCACTTAGGTTCAAACTTGGTGCAAGTATGTATGACCAAAGGAAGGAAATCTTGCTCTATCTGAAGAACTAATTAAACCATTAATTTTGGTGTTTCCATGCATCACATTATTTGAGATAAGAAGGTCAAAGGCCAAGGGTCATAGAGGTCAAATTATATTGAATCTAAGTTTTTTGGCCCAATTATCGCAGTGTCTCAAGAACAATTTGAGCCAATGACCTCAAACTTGATATTAGTATGCATTACCATTGTGAGACAATCTAATTAGAATCAGTGTAAGAAAGTCAAAGGTCAGCAAGTCAATATACATGACATTAAGTGTGTTTTTTCAACATGTTTCCACCGTGTCAATTATTAATTTATATGTAAAAACTATTTTAGCTGTGAACTTAAAAGGTCTAACTAGCAGAGCCCATGCATCATCATAGGGAGGCAATTAAGGATCAGATTGTGGGAATGTGAGGTCAAAGGTCGTTAAGGTAAATTAAGATGTAATTATAAGCTTTTGGTTCTCATAATATTTCAATAATAATTTAAGCCATGATCTTACCTGAGTTTAGGCCGAGGCATATTGGAAATGCAGTCGCTTTTGTCTTGCTTATTCTTAAATTTGAAATGATTGTAAACTACATCTGAATGCTGCAAGCATGTCAAGCATCTGCTTATGCTGTTTCCTTCCTATATGTGCCTTGTGTTCAGTATACATTCAATGTCATTTTTTAGATTTTGTACATTTGCATTATATTTATATACCATTATACATGTGACGCTTTCATGTGGAAACTACTATTCATTAAGGTTTGAACCACCACAAAACCTTAATAATAATTAAAATGTCATGGTACTAAAAATGTTGGTACATCTCTGACAGAGGAATGTGGCATTTATAAAGATGATGATATTGATAATGACATCTACTGCAAACTTATGCTTGAATTGAATTTCATATTGTCTGATTTTCTCATCCCACACAGTGTGTATATGTTTTATGTACTCACCGTAATTATATTTCTTTCGATCTAAAATAAACAAATAAGCAATGATAGAAAGGACTCTTTCAATACTTTTCCAGTTGTACAGTGTGTACCAGAAAAAAGAAAACCAACAATTATCGATGTTTTATCTTAACTTAATCACAATTATAATTAATAAATGACACATATTTGTAAAGCTTAGATCCTATTTTTTCATTTGATGCAACTGATATGAAACATATTTCACGCATGAGTAATTAAAACAAAAATTGAAGAAAGGGTATCAAAAAGTCATATGGCGAACGGTATCTGAATTTCAAAAAGAATATCACACTTTCAGAAAGTTCATTTTCTGCCCTTTCATATGACACCTCAATCAGGAAAAATGAGCCAAGAATAACAAAATTCTGTTTGTTTAAAGTAATGCTTGCATTTCCATAATGTTATTAAACGAATTCGTTTTCACTGGCTGCCTGCCGTAGCAAAAAACAACAAACTCCGTTTCGTTGACGATCAGCCATATTGGCATGAAGTCTTTCGTCTTCTTTGTTTGGACTACTCTGTCTATCGTCATCACTATGATGACCCTTATTTTTTTTTTTTTTTTTTTTTTTCCCCTTCCACAGGGTTCTTTATTTTCAAAACAAATTTCATCATATACAGAACATCCATATATCATATACACCCAATAAACAAAATCACGTGAAAATCACGTCAATATCAAGGTATCGACTTGAGGAGAGTTACGTTCTTCAAACACCGGACATTTACGTAAATGTGTTACTACGTTTTTTTGCATTAGGTAACTTAAAACACACGTACACTAAATCACGCAATTGTCACTGCAATATCACCATTATAATAACGTGATTATCCCTACCTTGGAGACCATGGTTTGTAAACCTAATACTCCCGTGTTTGTTTGGTTATGAAATTACATCTTCATACACGAAATTATCGCGTCCCAGAAACACGTGAAGCGTTAGTGATAGTTTTAGTCAAAATATCTGCGTGAAATTCACGTGAATATTACGAGGCTAACTTGAGATGAATCATGTTCTTCATTCACGTGAAATTTACGTCGAAGAGGAAGTATGTTACTGTAACCCGCGTTCAACCCAATAATTACGCAAATGTTACACAATAAATGAACCAAAATAATGACGTTCTCATCCCGTTTCTGAACATCGTGTCTTGGATCTTCCATAATTACGTCCAGGCGCGCCGGAAGCAGTTTGGGATTAGAGGGGGTTGGGTGGGGGGGGGGGTGCAAACATCCCAGAAGAGAAAGCTAGTTGCAAACTAGTCCAGTTGATGAACCATTTAATGCCAACTGGTAACCCTGGAAATTGAAATGGGCTAAATGATCCAGTTGATCCAGGCCAGTTATAATTCAACTGGTCTAGCTGAGCCATTAGAACCATTTGGTAAAACTTCCAACCAGTTGAACAGCAACAATACTTCAATACTGGTACGTCTGTATTTCCAATGTAAGGGCATTGGTATTAAGTAGACTTACATAATTGAATTAATCGAGAAAAAAATTCGTATACTTGTACTTTATTGAAATTATTTTAGTTCACAGTTAATGTTTCCCTTATTCATGTTTAACTATTTATACGAAGTAGCGAAATGTCCTAATAACTGGTAATTTATATTTGTAGTATTTTCGAAATGAATTGCATATAACTAAATCACCAGTAATTAAGAAATATGCTGTAAATTCAGATAAATTGTTTTAAAAACATAGATCTGCACGCACCCCATATTCAATATGCAAATGATTTGGTGTCAGCTGGGTCAACTCGAAATATGCCAACGCTCAGTCATCAACTGGTGCAACTGGAAATATGCACACTCCAGTTATCAACTGGTGCAATGAAAATATGCCAACAGTCAGTTATCAACTGGTGAACATAGAAATATGCCAACGGTCACGGGATTATCACCACGGAACTTAAATGGTAACTGTGAAACCATCAAGACACCCAAGAATAATTAATTTTCACACATGGAAAACACGGAATACCCAGCTTATATTAATAATCCGTTTGAGTCACGCGATCATCACCGCGGAACTGCTGGCAACTTTGACTACGATTTAAATAGGTGTTTTAAGACACCTAATCATGACTAATTGTTCACACCTAAAAGTCACGTATGCCCAGCTTAGATTAATAATCCGTTTGAGTCACGAGATCATCACCGCGGAACTTATGGCAACTTTGACTTCCATTTAATAGGTGTTTTAATACACCTAATAATGACTAATTTTTCACACCTAAATATCACGGATTCACAGCTTAGATTAGTAATCAGTTTTAACTACGTGATCATCACCAAGAAAGTTATGGTAACTTTGAAACCATTTAAATAGGTGTTTTAAGACACCTAATAATGACTAATTTTTCACACCTAAAAGTCACGTATGACAAGCTTAGATCAATAATCCGTTTGAGTCACGAGATCATCACCGCGGAACTTATGGCAACTTTGACTACCATTTAAAAAGGTGTTTTAAAACACTTAATAATTACTAATTTTCACACCTACATATCACGTTTTCACAGCTTAGATTAGTAATCAGCTTGAGCCACGTGATCATAACCAAGAAATTTATGGTAACTTTGAAACCTTTTAAAAAGGTGTGTAAGACACCTCAGAATTACTAGTTGAATATAACCAGAGATTCACGGACAGAACAATAAGACGATTAGCCGGTGTAAGTAACGTGATTATTACCATCAACCTTGGATAACCTGTGAAACCAATCAAAAAAAGTGCTTACAAGACCAAATAATTACGTATTTATCGCCACCATCGGTTAACTGACAAAAAACTCGTTGCTTGGTCAAGTGGTTTTTTGGTCATAAACACTTGATTTACAGAGGTAATTGGAATCACGTTACTCCAGTCGCGTGATAAACTGGTGGTTTTTAGGTTAGATGAAAACGTGAACAGGAGTACCCTTTTTGTTTAAATGAAGGCACGTGTCGATAACGTTTAAATCTAGTTCAAAAGGCACTATACTTTAAAATCACTTAAAATACACTCCCAAAAGAGGTTACTTTTTGGTGTTCTGTTTATTGGGGCATATAATTAAAAAAAAAATTCCATACATAATGGCTTGACACAGATAATAATCATCACGGCCAAAAACTTTTGTGGCAGATAAAAACAAACATTTATGACAAAATTAGTACTTTAAATATATAATTTAAAAAAAATACCAAACATAAAATACATGATCATGTTTATGTTAGCACATTTCCAACACTCTCAAAATATTTTCTAAAGTGAAACCATTTCTTTT